AAAAAAAAAAAAAAAAAAAAAAAAAAAAAAAAAAAAAAAAAAAAAAAAAAAAAAAAAACCCTATTATTAAAAATCAGCATGATAGTTTTGGCCCAACTCAGTTTTCCAAATAATACAAGCCAAATACTACTAAGGAATGGAGAAGATGAGGCTCAGTTTGTAGAACATTTGCTTGACAAGAGCAAAGTCCTGGAGATCTCAATTCCAAACCTCATGTTCATGGAGCAACCATCTCTCCAGTCCCAGAGCTATTTTCTATGGACCTTTACAGATGGCCTCCGGAACTCCAAGTGAAAGCAAGACTAGAAAACTTGTACAGTAAGTACACTACCAACCACACAAGGGAGTAAGGCCTGAGGTGCTACAGAGATGTCTGCTCCAGCTCCTTTTCTGGTTCCCAGTAGCCAAGGGATGAGGAGCCTCATAAGCTGTATGCTTCCACCATGTTGCTACAGGCCCAAGCAACAGTGGACAAAAACAAACTTGAGCCAGAATCAATTTTCCTCCTCTATTAAGTTGACTAGCTATTTTTTAATACCCATGGAAAGCCCAACTAAGACATTTCTATAGAGATAAATAAAAAATTAAAACTATTTGTGTCTGGAGTTGAGAATGGGAACACGGTGACTTACTTATAAATCTTTCTCTTTAAAAATGACACAGCTTCACTCTGTGGCCTTGCTGGCCTGAACTCACTACACAGACAAGCTGGCCCTGAACTTGAGGCAAGCCTCATTTCTTTAACTCCTAAGTGCCAGGATTACAAGGTACAGATTACCACTTTCAGCCAAACTTTTAAATAACTTTTATGGGTACATAACACAAAAGAAAAAAAATGTTTTGAGCAACACTTGCCTTTTTTCCTTTTGAGGTTTCAGAGTCCTCATCTTCTACACTGAGTAGATTTGCCCCACTATACAGAAAATAAAGGAAGAAACCTTAAGCAACAGTTACAGTCCACACATTAATGCATCTGCTTTACTTCACTGCTCATCCAACTGGAGTCAGCAAACTTTTATGCAAAGCCTCAGGCAGGCAAACATTTTAGGCTTCTCATATTGTAACTATATATACATTCCCTGTTACATCTTTACCATGGCAGCATAAGATTACCATAACATTATACAGCTGGCTGCTTTTCAACACAATTATGAACAGCTAGGCAGTGAGCAAAAGAGATAATCCGCTGATCCCTCCCTAAATGAACATATGCTCTTCTTTGTCAGGCTATATATTTTATATTTAGTTATGTGCACTATTTCCTTTTCTGTCTTGAATTGACATCTAGAGAACAGAAAAGTATTAAAAGCAAAGTACTACTAAGAGAAGGAAAATGAGCTAAGAAGAGGAATCCTAAAGGTACCGGCACAATGACATCACATCACCCTTGAAGACAGCAACCTTTTGCTAGAACTAATGGCCATCATGCTACTACATTAACAGCTCACCAGCAACCTCAACATCACCAAAAAGATGAAATCCCTAAGGAACACAATAAATTGCAGAGTGCAATCCATAAACGAGATGCATACAATGGCACCTTAATAGATCATTTTTAAAAGATAACTGTGAGAAATCTTCCAGAACAAAAATCAAATATATCTTTTTGATAATTCTGCTATATATAGTAAATTCCAAGCTATTTTTAATAAAAACATGTTTTGCTTCTTTGTTACAGATCAACATATATAATTATGTTAATATAAAAATTCTCTTCTAAAAATTGTATTAAAATGTTTGAAAGGTAAAGATTTCTGCAGTAATTTTATATTTAGTTCTCATTTTTAAAAACTATGTAAATATTAAATATCTATTTACTGGGAAAAAATTAAAAATAACCAGAAAAAAGAGTAGGATGATTGAAATAAATGTATCATTTCAAAGTTCTTTCAAATAAAATTACCTAGACTAATGGACATGAAATAACCCCAAGTATTCAGCCACCATACTTGAATGATAATGCTTTAAGAGCTGGTGTGGTGAAGCACATCTGCAGTTCCAGCACTAAGAGGCCAAGGGAGGACAGCTACAAGGGTAAGGCCACTCTGAGCTAGACAGGGACTTACAGCCCGGCCTGGGCTATAAAATGAGGCCCTCTCCCAAAAAATTAGGAAAATAAAATTTGTAAAAATGCAGTGGCATGCCGGGCGGTGGTGGCGCACGCCTTTAATCCCAGCACTCAGGAGGCAGAGGCAGGCGGATCTCTGGGAGTTCGAGGCCAGCCTGGTCTACAAGAGCTAGTTCCAGAAGAGGCTCCAAAGCTACAGAGAAACCTTGTCTCGAAAAACCAAAAAAAAAAAAAAAAAAAAAAAAAAAAAAAAAAAAAAGCAGTGGCACACAACTTAAATTTTTAGCACTTGGAAGTCAAGAGCAGGTGGATACTACAGGTTCCAGGCCAGCCTGGTCTATAGAATAAGTTCCAGGACAGCCAGGGCTGTTATACAGAGAAACCCTGTTTGAAAAACAAACCAAAAGTAAATACATACATACATACATACATACAATTATATTTAGAGCTCTGCCTAAATTTTGTGTGTTTATAAGTCTCTGAACTTTTTTTTTGCCATTGAAAAAGGAAGTAAACCAATAACTTAAAAATAGTATTGAATTTGCAACATGATTATCATAGTATGCAAAAGTACTACTGTAACTCTTATTAAAGGCAATGGAAGAACACTGTGGAAGAGCACTCTCCAAGGTAAGGCCCTGACTTGATCTACAGGGTACTATCAAAAGCAACAACAAAACCCACACCTCTTTTGTAAAATTTCACACAGCACTGACTTCAAGCACATTAACACTGCTTTCACTTCTATCTGGACAATGCCTATTCATAGCATCCAAACTGCTGTGTTTTCCCTGGTGGAAATGTGATTAAAGGTGGATGTGGTAGTCACAGGTTCACAAGCTGAAAACAAAAGACTTAATCTTTCATATACAATTTAGAGGTTTTCGGATTGTGTCCAGAGAGGCTGTCTTTTAAAGGGGAGCCAAGACTACTTGAGTATGAAAACTGTTGTCTAGTCATTCTTCAGTCATTAGAAAACATGTATTACATACACATACATTTTGAATATAAATATAAAGAAATATAAGCAAAATTATTTACCAACAAAATACTGATTTATCTCTTCTTACTGCAAAAAGATACCATATTAAAACTTTCCACAAAGTATAAATTGATTTTCTACTGAAAATTTCATTCTTATAAAGTATCAGAGGGAAATATCCTTACTCTTTATCTGCATCTCCTTCACTTTCTTCTTCATGATCAAAGCTCCAATTATTTTTAAAACCTCCATCTCTCTTAGATTCTGATCTAGCCAAAGCTGAAATAAAACAAACTGAAATAAGTATTCATTAATGTAACTACTGAATATAAAAAGAATTTGAGCATTTCCCAAACTGATTGTTCTAATTTTTTTATTTTTATTTTTATTTTTATTTTTTTTTTATTTTTTCGGGACAGGGTTTCTCCGTAGCTTTTTGGTTCCTGTCCTGGAACTAGCTCTTGTAGACCAGGCTGGCCTCGAACTCACAGATCGGCCTGTCTCTGCCTCCCGAGTGCTGGGATTAAAGGCGTGCACCACCACTGCCCGGCAAATTTTTTTAATCTTAATGCTTTTTTTAAACTATTTTTGTAAGCAACTTACTTCCTCCAAGAGGAAAAAAAAACATATTAAAGTTAGTTTTCTAATGAGATATGTCTGTGTCTACTACAGAAACAAACTACTAAAACAATAAAATGGGGAAGGGCACACATGTTTATTTAAAATATATAAAATCAGTCTTACTCTCCATCTTTGAGCACTGATCCCAGGAATCAGTCCCCCTGATTTAGTCCTCTTGCTTTATTCATGAGAACTACATCCAGCCACTAACATTTTCAATAGACTCAATCACCTCTGCCTTCTCACAGAAGAAAAACAAAGCATGGCCTTGTGTGTTGGCAAGGTAGTCAATTTGATAACCAGAAACCTCCAGATCACCAGAGATATTATTAGAAAACACAGAACAAGTGGGAAGGGTGAAATAAATGATGTTTAAAAGCTAAGATCTGTCCTGGAGCCACAAGACAAAAAAGTCTAACTTTCTAGAGTTTAAGCTTTAATATTAAGTTCAGGGTCTTAATGTTACAAGAAGTCAGACTGACCTAAAGGGTAGGAAAAAGAAAAATGTAACTAATGGTGACCTACCCTTTGATCTGGACTTGCCCCTTGAATTACCAAGGACAACATATATCCTATCCATCTACAAAGTCTGGTGGGGAAGCAAAAGCTCAGTGATAGAGTACTTGTCCACCATGCTACAGACACTGGCTTCAATCTCCAGCACCATAAAATATAAATAAATAAAGTGAAGATATAAAGTGTATCTAACCATTGGCTGCAGCCAATGAATAGCCATGAATGCACCCAACATGAAATTGCAAACTTACTAAAAATATTATGAGATTATTTTCTACTTAATTTCATGATTCTCAATCATGACCTCTGTAGGTTACAATGCCAAAAGGCTAGGCATCCATCTCTCAAAAATTCAGATTTTTTTTCCCTTAAAGTTAAGGATACATTTATTAGTTTTTTTTTTTTGTTTTTTTTTTTTTTTTTTTTTTTTAAAGGCAGACAACCTGAAAATCTTGGCATCTTCCCAGAGAAGAAAAATGGAGACAGGAAGGGAAAAAGCTATGTTGCTTGAGTTAAGTCAGCAGGTAGGACAGCCACATGGCAAAAAAGCAGTCAAACAGTGGAAGGTGGGCTTTGGAGAAAGAATAAGAAAGTATAAAGTTCTAGAAAAAGCATGCTTACTCTCTGGCCAGCACGCAAAAGAAAGAGACAGAAAAGAAAAAGGGAAACTTATATTTTCTTAAGTCAAGCCTTAGAAAGACAAGACCTCTTGAAGGATTATTGTGAGGACTGTTCCGAATTCAGATTTAAAAAAAAAAAAAAAAAATCACACCCCTAAGATAATAGTGCTAAGAGTAGGAAATTTGGGAGATATGAGACAGAATCCACAGTGATGGGATACATCCTATAAGAGACCCATGGAAGTTGGTTTACCCTTCCTCCATGGGTTACAAGTTGCCACGTGTGAGAAAGAAAATGTTACCAGGTAAGAATCTGGATACCCTGACTTCGCTGTCCAGCCTCTAGCACTGAGAAATTCATCTAGAGCTGGTCATGGTGGTGCCTATCAGTCAACCCAGTACTTGGGAGGTTGAAGCAGGATCACAAGTTCATGGCTAGCCTGGGCTACACAGAATTTGAAAACAGCCTTAGATACATAGTAAAGACCCCATCCCACTCCCAAAAAGTCAACAAAGAAAAATGATGAAGTCTGTGAAACCTTTAACAGCACTACAAAGACACTAGGTAGAGCATTCTCAAACACAAACCCTCAATTACTAAGAGACCAGAATTTTTACAATCTATGTGATATAGAAGTCTATAATTAAAACAGCTTCCTTTTTGGTCTGATACCTGAGGCAACAAAGGGCATCAGAATTTGGAAGCACTGCAACTAGACATTCACAGTGTGCTGCCTTTAGAAGTTGGCCTATGGCAAATTTACTACCTTACTGTGAAGGCTAGTTTTAGTTACTAAGCTAATAAACTCTAGAATCTGGTGGGGATACAGTTTCTTGTGGGGTTGCCTAGATTAACTGGTCCATGGACATATCTGTGGAGAATTGTCTTGATTGTACTAACTGAGCTGGGGAGGACTCATCCACTCTAGATGGCTCCCTGTGTTTTGGGATCCTGTAGAAAAAAACCTGCCGGGTGGTGGTGGCACACGCCTTTAATCCCAGCACTCGGGAGGCAGAGGCAGGTGGGTCTCTGAGTTCAAGGCCAGCCTGGTCTAAAGAACTAGTTCCAGGACAGGCTCCAAACCCTGTCTCAGAAGAAAAAAAAAAAAAGGAACTGAGCATATTCGTTTTCTCTCTGCCCTTAACTAGATATGACCAGGTGTTTTGATCTCCTGCTTTCCTGACTTCATTCAAGCAATGGTAAACTAATTTTGTGAGCTAAATTAAACCTTTTCTTCTCCTACGCCACTTTTATCATGATATTTTATAACAGCAACAAAAACTAAACTGGGACACTTAGCAAGTACAAAGAAAAGTGTAACTGGGGCACCAAAGTGAAAAGCCAAACTAACCTAGAGTGCCAGTCAAATGAGACCCATAATTATATATTGGACATCACAAACTCTTGTTCCATACTGTTTTGTGAATGAACTACCCAAACTAAGAGGACAACATGGCAGCACTCAGTCACTATTGAGAATGTTAGCCAAGACTCAAACAATAAATGCTCCATGTTTAAAAAACCAGAGGCTAGAGGGAAGGAAGGCCCCGTGGGTAAAATTGTACTGGCTGAACAATCGTGAAGACCAGATTTTGACCTCAGCATCCATGTAACAATGGGGACAGACACTGGAGTATTGTTGGGGCTTGTTGTTCAAAAACAGCTGAGAAAATGCAAACCCCAAGTTCAGGCTGAGACCTGCCCTCAAAAGGAGTAGGTAAATAGTGATAGGGAGACCCCCAATACCCTTTTCAGATCTCCTCGTGCACACACAGGAGCATATAGCCACATGCAGGCACAATACACATAGACAAATATACAAATAAGAAAAAAACACAAACTACAGACCTAGTTAGATATTAACCTCTCAAATAAAGGACATATTCTCCTTAGAAAAAAATTTAAATAATTTTATGTATATCCCCTGAGAGAATTCCTTCAAAATAGGCCAGACTTAGCTCATTTCAACAAACAAACAAACACATGAAAACAAAAAAAGAGGATTTAGAAAAGCAGAGAGCCAGGCAGTGGTGGCACACATCTTCAATCCCAGCACTCAGGAGGCAGAGGCAGGTAGGTCTGTGAGTTTGAGGCCAGTCTGCTCTAAAGAGCAAGTTCCAGGACAGTCCCCGCTATACAGAGAAGCCCTGACTGGGGGAGGGGGGTGGAGAAAAAAAACAAAACAAAAAAAAACCCAAACAAACAAAATGGAAAGTGGAGAAATCCAACCAACACTTCTACATTCAAGTGTCGAAGGTTCCATCAACTGTGATGTTGTATTCACAGCATCACAACCTTTAATACAGTAGGAGAGAAAAGCACCTCAGTTTTTCTCTTTTTTAAACCTCCTAATGCAATTTAACCATCAGAAGTAATCAAACAAGCCCCCAAATGAGACTCTCTAAAATACCTAATCAGAACTTCTCCAAAAAGTGATTAAGCAACTGTCAGAGAACAAGGAAGTAGGCATGGTGATGCAGGCTGAGGTGGGGGAGGGGGATGGGGGGAGACACAGGGGACCGTGAATATGATGTCATGTAAGTCAGCTCCAAGCTAGCCGAGGTTATGCAGCAAGACCAGGAAAGAGAGTTACTTTAGCAGTCTCTCTGTCTCTTTCTCCTTCTCTCCCTCCCCTGCTCCCCGCTCAAAAAAATGTGCAAGTTTAAATCTGGAGCCCATACTAAAAGGTGACTGGTGACTCTAAGTGTTCATGAAAAACCTTACTCTGTATGAGACAATAGCAAAGGGGCCTGAGGTGTACGATCTCACACACCACAGTCTCCACACTGCGAAAACACAAAATTTATCTGAGAGTCTGATCACAAAAAGCAGCTGAAAAGGTAACTACCACCTAGAGAAATGTTTTGCTAGGGTCAACCTGGAAAGCATACAGATGCTGACACAACTGTGGTCCAAAGAGCCCAGGAGCTAGTTAAAGCTGACAACAGAACTTGGCATTGTCCATGTGGTAAGGATTTTTCAGGCTTGCTTTAAAAGACTGAAGAATGAGTGGATCACCTGGCAGTGGTGACGCACACCTTTAATCCCAGCACTTGGGAGGCAGAGGCAGGTAGATCTTCATGAATGCCAGCCCAGCCTGGTCTACTAAGAGCTAGTTCTAGGACAGGTTCCAAAGCTACAGAGAAACCATGTCTTGAAAAACAAAATAAATAAATAAGAAGAAGCAATGTGATCAACCAGCCTCCTGCTCCTGCGCCTTCCTGAACATGATGACACCTCCCAGACTGTAAGACAGAATAAACCCCTGTAAAGTGCTTCTTTTTCTTTCTTCTTTTTGAAGACAGGCTCTCAAGGTGCTGTGAATCAACTGAACTTCTGATGCTGCCATCTCCATCTGCACAGTGCTGGGATTAGATATGCAGCAACGTGCCCTAAGTGGTGCTGGGGATATAAACAGCGCATCATGCATAGCAGGCAGAAAGTTCAAATCCTCAAAGATCCTTGGGTATTTACATGCCACCACACCGTTATGAGTAACACTGGTTGTTTTGTTACTATCT